ACATTAAAACTGAGCGGGCGCTAAGGCCTCTAGTGGAAGAAGAGTAGGGAGGAAAGGATCTCGAAGGTCATAGTCCAGGAGTGTGGCCTTTGCACCCCCTGACCCCTTGGTGACCTGAGGAAAGTTCTGGCCCATTCCCAAGAACCGTGTGCTCACGTGGCTTGTGAATAATTTGAGGGGATTCGCACACACCACCAGCCCTGCTAAGGCCATTCGTGGACCCAGACTAGCGGGGCCTGCCGTTTTGACCCCCCGTTTTGTTGTGGCACGTCCGGGCCCGCACACAGCTTCCATTCCTGCAGGGCTCTTGGCAGCCCGCCACGTGGTCTCCCCACCAGCTGTCCCCACCTCCCAATCCGGCCGGTTCCCAGAGCACGTTTCTCTCCTGCTTGGGCACCAGCGGTCTTCCTGGTTGCACGAGCACCCCCGCGATAAGCTCCAGATCAAGAGATCCAGCCCTTCCTTGTACACGTTTGGACTCCCCAGTGCCTGAGAGCGTAAGCAGTCGCTCCTGGCACTTGCTCTGCCCATAAACCACTCTGTCTCTGGCGAGCTTTTCTGTAACTCGACCCACCCTCAGGGATCTGTCCCAGCAATTAAGGAAACGCCCTGAGCACCCCTTCTCAGCCATATCCTGGGTGGTGCTGGGGACACAGCAGGGACAGCCTCAGCCCTGCTCTCCCAGGGCTCACAGTCCAGGGCAGGAGACCAGCTGTCCCTGCACAGTAATGACTCAGGGCAGGGCAGCCCAGGCTGGGTCACCGGGAGGGCTTCCTGAAGGAGACAACACCCGAGCTGAGACCAGGCAAAGATGAGTTGGGAGCGAGGTAGCGGTGGGGAGGTAGCGGTGGGGAGACGGTAGCAGCGAAAGGAAGAATGTCTGCAGGGGCCGAGGGGTGCGCTGGCCGACCTGGTTCTAGAACCGCAGAACAGAGCCAGGCTGGGCCTTGAAGCAGGAGACTGGTCAGGAGAGGTCAGGCTGTGACCATTGAGCACACTGTGCCCAGGGCCCACCCACGGGGAGTCTCACAGCCATGGAATTCGGCCTTGAGCTCTTCAGAGCCTCTGGGAGGGAAGGAATCAGGTTAGAGCTTTCCAGAGACCCCCTCGGGCTGCTGTATGGAGAGTGGGTGGGAGGCCCAGGAGGAGAGGGCAGGGCTGATGGGGAGGGGAGGGGAGGGCCGATGCCAGAGGCCTTTAGGGACTAGAGCAGACAGGACCCAGGGACGGCCTGGCCATGGGGGATGGAGCGCGGTGCTTCCTTGCTTCCTGACAGGGCCTCGCCTCCTCCACTCTCTGCCCCTCAGCCTCCTTCCTGCCTGTCCTCCTGTAACGCTGCCATCCTCCCCTTTGAGCCCCCACCCCTGTTCTCCATTAGCCTCTCAGGGATTGGGGGGCCTCTCTTCTGGCTCAATAAAGACTTCCTGGTTGACAGACTCACATGGCAAGTGGTGTTTGGGGAAGAAGGGCTTCAGCAGCAGCTCCTGGGGTCTCCCCGTTAGCACAAGGACTTGGGGCACTGCCACCCACTCAGGGAAGCGGCCCCAAGGCCTGCCTTCGTAGGTGCTCGTGTTGTGCCAGCCCTCTGGGTCCTTCCGGCACTGGGTGTTGAGCTGGGAGGCTCATTGTATGCCCTGGCCCCATCCTCTTGTCCCTCCCTCCCTAATACTCTACTGACTGTGTCCCTGTATCCTCCACACAACCTAGGCCTGGTGTCCCTGGCACAAGCCCTGTGTCCTGGGCAGGGTTGGCGGGGGCAGTCCCTTGGCCGGGCTTCTGGTGGAGCTGGCCTGTGGGCCTCTCCTGTCCCCTCTGGGAGGGCTGATGGCAGTCAGTAGCTGCCTGCTCTCTCCAGCAGGGCTGGGGGTGCCCTGCCACCCTGTCAAGCCAGAGTGTGTCCCCACGGGTTGGCAACACGTCTCTCCTGCCTCAGCCTTTCCCAGGATTGTCCTCAAAGAGAAGGGGACAAGGTCTCCCCATTCCACCCAGTGTGGGGCTTCCAGGAATTGGACATATCTCTGTCCTTGGGTCAAGCCCCCATGTTTTCCAAGGGTCGGGCCACAGTGTGCCCTGGGAAGGGGCCCTCTGCTGGGTGGGGGAGGCTTCCTGTCTCCCTGGGAGCTTCAGGAAGCCAGGGCTGGCTCTTCCCCTCGCACGGACAGACGGCAGGGCTTAGGCTATCGAGGGGTGGTGGGGCTTCCACCTCCCAGGGCCAGCTGGGCAAGGAGGACAGGCGCGCTCTCCGCCTCCTCGCAGCCACCAACCTGTGCTTTGCGGAGCGGAACGTGTACACGTCGGAGGTGCTGGCCGTGGTGATGCAGCAGCTGATGGAGCAGAGCCCCCTGCCCATGCTGCTCATGAGGACCGTCATCCAGTCCCTGACCATGTACCCCCGCCTGGGGGGCTTCGTCATGAACATCCTTTCCCGTCTCATCATGAAGCAGGTAACCCGCCCCTGCGACCCCACCCCTGGCAGCTGATGGCAGCAAGGCCCACTGAGGGCTGGCTTGAGGCAGAACCAGAGGGCTTCTCGCCTGCCTGCCCTCCTCTTCTCCGTCCTCCCCCACAGAGTGAGCCGGGCGGGGAGCAGGCTCTACTGTGACCCTGTGCCCTGCCTCCTGCCAGGAAAATGCAGTGCTCCAGGGTGACGAGGGAGGGCCACTGAGCGGTACTGACGGAGGTAGACTTCAGGGGGCGTGCACCCCAGCAGGGCCATGCTGCCCCTCATCCCCCACCACTGTGCACCCAGCCGGGATTCATCCTAGAGCTGAAAGATGGTCCAGTTTTTTTAAGAGATGCTAGAAATTTGAGCTTGTACAAATACCTTGATGAAACAAAAAGCAAACGCCATCTGCAAGCCCCAGACTGGATTCAGCCGACAGGTGGCCGCTTCGCAACATCTGGCTTAGATGTTAAAAGTAGATTCAGACAGATCTGGGTTGAAATGTGCCCCTTTGTCCTTGTGTGACCCTGGACAAGTCTCCGCACCTCCCTGGGCCTCATCTGTCTAGCAGGAGGCTGTCATGAGGACAGAAGGAGATGGGGCTCCGGCAGCATGGAGCCTGGGCTGGCCCAGGGAGAACTCGGGGAAGGGGCGGCTCTCGGTTTTCTTCCACCCCTTCCCCAAGCTGCCTTCGCGTTCCATCTCCCTGGATCCGGAAGACAGTCTGTCTTCCAGAGGGAGGTCAGGGCTGTACGTAGCCCAGAAGAATGTCGGGTGGTGGGATTTGGGCACATTTTGGCGAGGTCTGGGGCTGGGGTGACTGCCCGCCTGCCCCTCCCGACCGCTCCCTCCCTGCCCGGTCCAGGTGTGGAAGTATCCCAAGGTGTGGGAGGGCTTCATCAAGTGCTGCCAACGCACCAAGCCCCAGAGCTTCCAGGTCATCCTGCAGCTGCCGCCCCAGCAGCTGGGAGCCGTCTTTGACAAGTGCCCCGAGCTCCGAGAGCCCCTGCTGGCCCACGTCCGCTCCTTCACCCCCCACCAGGTACCCCAGGGTGTGGGGAGGATGGCCCCCGGGGACTTGGATGGGGGCAGGCGGAGGGGAACCCTGCACTGCCATGGAAGGTTCTGGAGGGTCAGGGACCCAGCATCTGGGGTGTCCAAGAGGGGTCTCCTGGCCAGAGGTGTCCCCAGCACCCCCTGGCTGCTCTTCACCTAGCAAGCACACATCCCCAACTCCATCATGACCATCTTGGAGGCCAGCGGCAAGCAGGAGCCAGAGGCCAAGGAGGCACCAGCAGGGCCCCTGGAAGAGGTGAGGGCCCTTGCAGCCCACCCATCTGGATCCCCCAGCCAGCAAGGCCCCCCACCTCCTCCTCCCGACCCCAGCCACCTGCCTCTGAGCCACCTGTCTCCGAACGGACGCTCCCGCTGAAAGGGAGGGGGTGGAGGGACAGCTGCCCCCTCCCCACAGTGCCCACAATGAAGAGCCGCTGTCCCTTATGCTGCCCCAGTTTTCTGCCTCAGGGTGGTCTCTGCCTCTTCTCTCCCACCGTCCTCTGAGAGCACCCATCCCTGAGCCTGCTGTGTGCCCTCCCCGCCCCCAGGACGACCTGGAGCCCCTGGCCCTGGGGCCGGCCCCAGCGCCCCGACCCCCTCAGGACCTCATCGGCCTGCGGCTGGCCCAGGAAAAGGCCTTAAAGCGGCAGCTGGAGGAGGAACAGAAGCTGAAGCCCGGAGGAGTGGGAGCCCCCTCCTCTTCCTCCTTGTCTCCCTCCTCTTCCTCGGCCCGGCCCGGCCCCCCCGCGTCGGAGGAAGCCATGGATTTCCGGGAGGAGGGGCCCGAGTGCGAGACCCCGGCCATCTTCATCAGCATGGACGACGACTCGGGGCTGACCGAGGCCGCGCTCCTGGACTCCAGCCTGGAGGGGCCGCTCCCTAAGGTAGGGACGACAGCCTCAGAGTGCGGGCAAGAGCCTCCAGCCGGGGGCGAGATGAGTTAGTTGGGGGGCGCGGCTGGGCGGGCCACGCCCTCTGACCCGCTGCCGCTTTCCTTCTGCCGCAGGAGGCGGCGGCGGGCGGCTTGGCCTCAAAGGAAGAGCGGAGCCCGCAGACCCTCGCGCCTGCGGGAGAAGACGCCGTGAAGACCCCCAGCCCGGCCGCCGAGGAAGCGGGGGAAGCCGAGACCAAGGGGAACAGCTGACGGGGCTTGGCGGGGAAGGGGAGTGGGGTGGGAGCTGCGGGGGGGATGCGGGGGGGCTTGACCAGCGGGTGCTTTGCCTTAAAAAAAATTAAAGAGATGATGGGTCTAGAGCGTTAGTGCGGTGTCGTCTCTGCCGCCGCGTCCGACCGCTGTGGGCTGCGCGGAGCCGGCTGGAAGCCCCCGGGAGCGGGGCTGCGCCTGCGCGGAGACGGCTCCCCGCCCGCGTCCCGCGCGCCGCCCCTGATAACGGCCCGCACCTCCGCGGCCCTTAGAAACCGGCGACGCTAGCGCTGCGGCTGCCGGGCGTGTGCCTGTCTGCAAGCCTTCCTGCCAGAAGTTTGCGCCGCCTTTCGAACCATGGGGGACCCACCGCCCCACCCTGAGCCCCCTTCCCAGGAGCCCGCGATCCGCAGGGGTTCCCAGGTCTCCGAGCCTAGTCCGGGGCAAATTCAGCTCCCGGCAGCCGTCCCCGAGGAGGAGGTGCCTCAGACGCCGTTCGACGTCCAGACCCGTCAGGGTGCCCTGATGGGCCAGGCCAACCTCCCAGGCTGGTCACAGTGGGGCAGCCTACCCCAACAGGAGAACATGCCCGTGTTCCCGCCCGAGGCAGCCCGGGCGGGCGACGCGGAGTACCCACCCATGAACATGGTCTTCCCCTCGGAGTTCCAGACCCTGCCTTACATGGATGAAAGCAGGATCCAAGGCGCTGACCAATCCAGCCTAATACTGCAGCAGCTACAGGGGGACCAAAGCAATCTCTTCCAGCAACTGGAGTCTGCCTACCAGGACCCCCGAGGCAACCTCTTGGACCACTTCTACCAGAGAGATGCCCAGCACTTATATGAAGGCAGCCAGCACTGGCCCTACGTAAGGGCAGACCCTGCCCTGCACGTCACACCCTCCGAGCTGGGCTTCCCGCCCTACGGTACAGAGGTGCCCGAGCCAGGGCCTCGGCAGCTGGCCGTGCAGAACGCAAAGGCCTACCTGCTGCAGACCAGCGTGAGCTGCCACCTCAGCCTGTGAGAGGGGGCCGGGAGGGGGGAGTGTGGGGGACCCAGGCCCTGCCTCAGTCAGACAAGGGATTGCCCCTTACGGAAAACCAGTGACTGCTCTGGGCATCTAACTCAGCTAGGACACGGGGCATGAACACTAATAATAGCATTTACTCACCAGACACGTGCCCGCACTTCACACACTAACACCTAATTCTCGCCGCTGAAATTAGCACATCCACTGTCCCTATTTTACAGAGAAGAGACCGAGACACAAAGAAGTTGGGTCGCTTATCCAAGACTACACTGCTAGCTAGGATGTGGCCGAGTCAGGACGGATGAACGGGTGATTTGGCTGGAGGCCCTGTTCTTATCCGCTAACGTTCCCTGCTCGAGGAAGCCACCTGCCAAAGCCTCTTAGCTGCAGTCACAACACACGACTCTCAGCCTGCGTTAGGTATTCATGAGGCTCATGTTCTAGAAGAATGGACAAGAAACATAAAATGGCAGGGCAAAGGTCAGGGCTAAGGTGAAAATAAGGCAGCGTAAGAGGGCTAGGGAGAGCGTGTTAAATAGTGGGAGGTCAGAGAAGGCCTCTGAGGAGGTGACATTTGATGAGAGTCTGAAGGACATGAGGGAGGGCACCTTGCAGACAGCTGGAGACAGAACGATCCTAGCATAAGGCACAGCACATGCAAAGGCTGCGAGGCTGGCTGTGTTTGAGGAACAGTGAGGAGGGGCTGGTATGTCTGGAACCACGGTGGGGAGAGGGAGAGTGGAAGGAACTGAGGTTGATTAGCAATGGGTTTTGCCAAAGCACAAAGCTGCCCCCGTCCCTCCAATGCTCAGAACCTGCTGTGGCTCCCCATTGCCCTCAGGAGGAAGTTCAGGCTCCTCACCACAGCCTTCAAGATCCTGTATCGTTCAGCCCTGCCCACTGTACAAACTTCATTTTTAGTCACTACCTGACTAGTCCTTCCTTAGATCAGAATTAACCCCTGGCTGTTCCTCAACAAGTTCCAGCTCTTGGGAGCTTCAAGGTCTCTTCTGGAAAAGCCCTGGCCAAAGTCTTACCTCTTCTTACCCTTCCCAACTACAATGATAAAGAGGTTTCCACACAGCAGAAGGTTACACGTACATGCTTTGAAATCAGCCTAACCTGGTTTCAAAGGCTCACTGTGCCAGCATTGTGTGACCTCATGACCTTAATTTTTCTAAGCTGTTTCCTCCTCTGGAGAGTGGTGATCATAATTGTTCCCTCGATGCGGGTTGTGGGGAGGATTCGACATTGCCCTCAAGTACCCGGCTTGGTGCCTGGCTTAGGGGCATGGAAGCCATTGCAATCCTATTATCACTCTGGCCTTTTCCTCTGTGTAACTCTCCTCCCTCTCTCCACTCCAGCCACACTGAACCTTCTCTATGTTCCTCCAACATGCCAGGCACACTCCTTTCTCAAGGCCTTTGCACATTTCCAGTTGTATCATCTGCAAACCGTGACAATTTCTGTGTTTCCTTTCCAATCCGTATATCTTTTCTTTTTTTTTTTTTTTTCATGCTTTATTGCATTGGCTGTGACCTCCAGTACAGTATTAAATAGAAGTGGTGAGAGCAGGCATCCGTGTTCTCAGGCTCACAGGGGAATTTATTCAGTCTTCACTGTTATGTCTGGTGTGTGCTGCGGGTTACTTGTGGTTACCTTTTATAAGATTATTTAAAAATTACCTTTTATTCTTAGTTTGTTACAAGTATTTTTAATATTGTAAATTTTTTAAATTGTGAATTGGACATTATCAATTTCTCTGCAACTATTGAGGTGATATCCTTTAACATTAACATGTTAAACCTGATGAACTATATTATTCTAATGTCAATCCAGTCTTGCATTTGTGTTATTAGCCCAATGTAATCACGATGTGTCATCCTTTTTAGAAATTGCTGGGTGCCACTTGCTAATATTTGCTTAGGGTTTCAGCATCCATATTCCTAAATGAGATTGGCATGGAATTTTCCTTCTCCTAGTGTCTTTGAGTTTTGGTATCAAGATTAGGTTAGACTCATATCATGTCGCAGGGCCTATGCACCTGCTGTTCCCTCTGACTGAGGCACTGTCCCTCTCACCCCCAAATCTGCATGGTGTGTCTTGTCCCTTCACTTGATTCAGAGCTCAGTTTAAGTATCACCTTGGTGAGGGCTTCCCTGGCCTCCCTATTTAAAATCACACACCTTCTCCCACCCCTGACTCTGCCAGTCCCCAAGCCCTGCTCTGTCTCCCTAGAAATTACCACCCCGTGCCTGGCACACCACGTATCTTGCATGTTTGATTAATGTCGGTCTCCATCCCAGGTCAGCTCCCCGAGGGCAGGGGCCTTTTCTGTTTCCTGCTGTGTCCCCTGCACCAGGCACAGGGCTCCGTGAGCTGAGTGATGTCCCCCACCTCCCACTCCCCCCGCGGGAGGCAGGTATGAGCACCTGGTGAACCTGCTGACCAAGATCCTGAACCAGCGGCCACAGGACCCCTTGTCCATCCTGGAGTCGCTGAACCGCACCACGCAGTGGGAGTGGTTCCACCCCAAGCTGGACACGCTGCGGGACGACCCCGAGATGCAGCCCACCTACGAGGTGGCGGAGAAGCAGAAGGCGCTGTTCGTGCGCGGCGGAGGCGGCGCCGAGGGCGAACAGGAGATGGAGGAGGAGGTGGTGAGTGAGCCGGCGGGGACAGACGGGCACACGGCAACCCGCGACCCGGGCACAAGCGCGGCTTCCGCCCAGCGTGTGCGCTGGCCAAGGGGGCGGGGCCCGGTGGCCGAGGACCGGGTCGCCAGCAAAGGGACTCGGGCTTTCTCCTGAGACCCCTGGAGCGCCAAGGAAGGGTTTGAAGCAGAGGACAGGCGGGTCAGCTCTGCTTTTTAGAAAGCTGACTCCGGCTGCCACGTGGAGGCGAAGGCTGGTCTCTCCTGCCACCCCTTGATGCCTCCCTCCAGAAATTAACTCCGCCCCACGGACATTTTCTGTGAAACTCACTGCCCCCTGGAGTCTCTCAGCACTGAATCAAATCGCTTCCTTTCCCCCGGCCTCAGTTTCCCCATGTATACGTTGAGAGCCGCTAAGAACTCCTCCACCAGGGCTCATTAACGTTGTACCATCCTCACCATACGGGTACTTTTGGCCTTGCCGTGGGCTCAGGTCCCGAGATGCGCAAGAAACGTTGAAAATACCATAGGTCAAAAACGCAGTTGAGGTTGGGCGCGGTGGCTCACGCCTGTAATCCCAGCACTCTGGGAGGCTGAGGCAGGAGGACCGCTTGAGCTCAGGAGTTCCAGACCAGCCTGAGCAAGAGTGAGACCCCCGTTTCTTCTAAAAATATAAAAATTAGCGCCATAAGGCAACCCAGCAATGCCCTGGGTACCAATCAGCTTCCACCTTTCAGCTCCCCCACCATCAGGGTGTAAGACTTTGTCTCCCATGTGTTGCCTCATGGCCCCAAGACAGCTGCTGTGGCTTTAGCTCTCACATCCCCATTCCAGGCAGGAAGAAGAGGGAAGGATGAAGGGCAAAAGATCTCCTTGTGTGGTTTTGCCTTTCCTCTTCCATCAAGGAACACTTCCCCAAGGACTTCTCCTACATCTCAGGGGCCAGCCCTGAGTTTCAGAGTGTTTGAGGTCTCTAGACTCCAGAGCGGTCTAGAGGGGCCAGGCTGGAGAGCAGGGCTTCAGCGTTCCTCCCTCTGCCCCCACCCACGCCCGGCAGGCGGAGACGGCGGTGCCCAACGTCATGGAGACGGCCTTCTACTTCCAGCAGGCGGGCGTGGGCCTGAGCTCCGACGAGAGCTTCCGCGTCTTCCTGGCGCTGAAGCAGCTGGTGGAGCAGCAGCCCATCCGCACGTGCCGCTTCTGGGGCAAGGTCCTGGGGCTCAGCCGCAGCTACCTGGTGGCCGAGGTGGAATTCCGGGAGGGCGAGGAGGAGGGGGAGGAGGAGGAGGGGGAGGAGCCGATGGAGGGCGGCGAGGCCCTGGAGGCGCCCCCGGAGGAGGAGGGCGAGGAGGACGAGGACAGGCTCGCCGACGTGGTCCCCAAGCCCACGTGGAAGCCGCCGCCCGCCGTCCCCAAGGAGGAGAGCCGCTCGGGCGCCAACAAGTACCTGTACTTCGTGTGCAACGAGCCGGGCCGGCCGTGGACGCGGCTGCCCCACGTCACTCCGGCCCAGATCGTGCACGCCCGGAAGATCCGGAAGTTCCTCACCGGCCGCCTGGACGCGCCGGTCGTCAGCTACCCGCCCTTCCCCGGCAACGAGGCCAACTATCTGCGCGCGCAGATCGCGCGCATCTCGGCCGCCACGCACGTCAGCCCGCTCGGCTTCTACCAGTTCGGCGAGGAGGAAGGCGATGAGGAGGAGGAGGGCGGCGCCGGGCGCGACTCCTACGAGGAGAACCCCGACTTTGAGGGCATCCCCGTGCTGGAGCTGGTGGACTCCATGGCCAACTGGGTGCACCACGCGCAGCACATCCTGCCGCAGGTGAGGACGGGGCGCGGGTGTGGCCCAGCGATAGCCGCATGGAGCTCGGTCCCTGCGCCGGCGCTGGCCTGAGTGACACGTGTTC